AGCAAATAGAGCTGCAGGATGATCAACAGGTTCCTGCTGCACTTCCTTGTGGTTTCCCTACAGAAACAACTATGAACTGAGAGAAGTAAGGTTAGGAAAAACAGAAACAGCCAAACACACACACACACAGATTCCCCAGAACTCAATGCTGAATGGCACTTGATTGGTATTTCATAGCATAACATTAAAAAAATGCTAGAGTTTTTAGGTTATCTTCCTGATCTAAGAAATCCTCGATACTGTAACAGCAGCACCTGACAGGAAAACATCGTCACATTTAAGAGCATATTTTCTCTACGAATATTTTTTTTTTATATCAAGAGCATAGCTTCAACAAGCTCATTTGTGCTTAACACTGTGACTACTGTAAATGAATCATAAAAGCTAGTGGTTGTTGTACTGGCTTCTCAAGCTCTTATTTTATGCCTCAAGCCGAATTTAGAAGAAACACCAGTGTGTAACATCAATTTGTATTCACTTACTGGCTTGCTTCATTTGCATTCTCTCAACCAGGAGTTGTGAAATGTTAAACAACCTGAAGAATATTTCTAACTTGCAGAAACTTTGCTTTGAATTATCCTCTGATTAGTGGCATAGTAGAAGGATTTCTTTATCTTAAAAGTATTTCAGGCACAGATAGAAGTAAAAACACAAAATTGTTTTTTATACTAACACAAAATACTAACAAAAAAGTGATTGTATTAGTATTAGTATGGTATAATACTAATACAAAAATAATAGTACACACATTATTTATCAATCCAAAATGTTTGTACCTTCATATAAACATTTTGTCCCTTCATATAAAATCCACAAATGCTGCATTTGATACCTGAAATGCTCACTTGGATTAGAGGTCTTTGAAAAAAAAAACTATCAAGGTAGAAAAATCTTAAATAAAGATGGAGAAATACATATGAAGGCAGTCACCTTTCTTTACTGTGTGCTGGGGGATAAAATACACACCAAAAATATTACTTACATATACAAGACTTCAGGTAAAAGGAAGAAAAAAATATAAGGTTTGCCCAAAGAGGTGCTAGATGTCCCATCCCTGGGAACATTCAAGGCCAGGATCTCTGAGAACCTGATCTAGGTGAAGATGTCCCTGCTTATTGCAGGGGCACTGGATTAGATGATCTTTAAAGGCTCCTTCCAATTCCAACTATTCCAAGAAATTGTGATTCTACACCAAGGACAAACAACTCCTTTTAGCTGGATTCTTCTGAAATGCCTGCATCTCTAGTGGGACAAAGGGAGAAGCCTGGAGCAGCTAGCACAATGACACTGCAGCTGATTCAGTAAAGTTTTTTAATCATTCCACAGTACAGAGCCATGTTTGCAGTCCTGAGGGATAAGACCTGGGCCCTTAACAACAGCACAGGCTGAAGTGAGTCTCTTCAGTGTGTGTGCTGTGCAAGCCCAGTTTTGTGCTGCAGCCTGCGGGCTGTGGTTACTCGCTCTGAAACAGGGCACTGCTCCATGGTCCTCAGTTCCCCTATAGCAGAAGCCCTGGAAAACACCAAGATTCAAACTGAAAGTATTACCAAAGACAGAGAGTCTGAGAAAGAAAGAGTGAAAAACACATTTACACATACAACCTCTAACAGTTTTAAGGCAGGGCACCCTTGCTTACCAAGTTTCAGAAGCCAGCCCAGAAAGAGGCACCAATTTTTTCACAATAATTTGTCTTTGTTCTAGAAGGGTAGAAGTGTGTGATTTAAAAGTTAAAGCTGGAGATCAGCTTGCCAAACTCTGTTTACAGCCTCTAATACATTTAACCAGTATTCAGCAGTACTTACACCCTGTCTCTCCACTCTTTCCTTCAGCTTCCCAACTCTGTTTTGTACTTGTAATAATGAATTGTGCTGCTTAGAGCACCAAGTAGAGGAAAGAAGCTCATCTCAAGAGCATCAGCCTCCCCTCTGTGAGTTCCTCATGAAAAATGCGACATGAAATCTCTAGTAGGAGCCTCATCTCTTTTCCACATTTTGGTCATCTGCAGAGAAAAGGGGGGAAGAGAGAGAATGCCTGGTTGGGAATTTTTAGCAAATATTTCTCCCGAAAAAACCACAAGTATCCAAACTTTCATCAAAAGAAATAACTGATTTTATTTCTGCTTCATAGGAATACTGAGAAGTCTGAAAAGCCTTTGATTTCAGGTGAGAACATCTTCTTAGTGAAGTTAAACTAAGTATATTTGAAAAAAAAAAAAGCAGCACGGTATTTGTCTAAGAGATATTTTTACATTTGATTTAGAAAAGAGAGAACACTAAGTCTTTTCTGAAATTTGGGATGGAATTTTTTAAATGTCACATTTTCACAAGACAAAGAATATTCTCTACCAGCTCTGACTGCCAATCACCCCTTCTACACCATGGTCTGTGGAGTTTTGGGTATACCTATGCAGCAAGGTGCCACACTCCTGGACACTTCAGCTGTTCAAGCCTCCAGCTCTGGTTTGCTCCTTGTCTTCAGGAACAGTTTGCTACCACAACCCCACATTTTTGGGGAAAATGACACCAGATGAAGTGGCCTGAATAGAACTGGTTTGCTTGCTACTTGACAGTAGGTTATAAAACATGTGATTTAAACTTAGTGCTATAAAAAAACCACCGTTCTGATGGGCTGCAACACAGTTTTCTCATTCTTTTGGATAGTTTGGACAAAAGCCCCCAGGAATATGTGCCTATCACCTGATGCTCAGAAGAGTACAAGATGCCAAGTACAAGACAGAATAGGTGCAGCCAGTCACTTCTGGTGCAAAGTGATGTGGAAACAGGAAAGCCCCCATCATTTCATCTCAAGATCAGGAGCTGCTACTTCAACAAGATGTTTATATTTAGCATGAGGAATAGCCCAGCATATACATTAAATAACAGCTAAACATGCTCACATTGCACTGGTGCACCTATCCAGCGTATGGCTGCTGGGTCAGAAGGAAAACATCACAGAAAGGAAGGGAAAGCTTAAAGCATGGGAGAAATGTCAAAGTTTTGAAAGCTACAGAGCAAGGGATAAATGTTCATTCACATCAATACTAATTTTTAAAAATTACAGTGTATGGGGTTTAGAATGATATTTTTATAAAAATTATCTCCCAAATTTTTAAAAATAAATGAAAAAATGCCCCAGGAATTTCCCCAAATTTCAGTTTTGGCTTTATTTTTCTGAGTCTCCAATGTCACTTCATTTTTCATCTACTGAAAATTTAAGATGTCATCTATGTTATTTACTGGAATTTTAGAGAATTCTTTTATTGTTATTATCTACCTAATTGGATTATAAAATGTATTTTAAATAAAAGAAAGTGAATAATCTAATCAAGTATTTAACACAATTTTCCAATATGCACATATTAAATGGAGTTTTTTACTTTTAATGTAAGGCTTTACAAAAGAAAGAAATCACATGCCAAGGATTTTTAGTAGGGGAAATAAACAAGACTCAAAAGACCCTCTATTAAAAAAAAAAATAAAAATACAGAAATGAAGATGAACAACAGGTAAAAGGCCTGACTAACCATAACTGTGAAAACATAATGACCCAAACCTATGCATTCACATCACTATAGACTAGACTGCCTACCTGGATTTGAAGTGATTACTGTAATATCAGCAGGCCAGAAGATTATGAGCATGAAAAAAGCAAGCCTGGATTCACACACAGCCACACCCTAACAGACATTTACTGGTGCCACCCAGAGAAAACCACGCCTGCACTCAGCCAAGGGTAGCAGATGTGGGACAACACCTCTCAAAATGAAGCCAAGAAAACTGGGGCAGACCTCAAAAAACAAATCTAAAGAAGACTAACTCTTTTTATCTTTTAAATCTTAATTTATTAAGGCTTATAATAATAAAATAATAAAAAAATACAAAAAATAATAATAAAATATTATTAATTTACTATGCATTTAAAAAGTGCATAACAAATGCACTTTTTTTTCCCTTAGACCTATAAATTCTGCACACCTCTCTTAAGAGGAAATATTTTCAATAAATGGATGAATGTGATTCTGTGCTCTGGGAATTGATAGATTTCTTGTATTTCAGGAAAACCAATACTATACTCTGTGGCACTTAATTTCTCCCTAAATTACTACCCATATGGATTTTGCTCTGTTATTTACACACAAGCAATTAAGCACTTAATTGTTTTTGATGCAGTTAAAAATTATCTGTTCAATAGAACTTTAGTCTTCAAAAGTACAGAAACGTTTTTTTTTGGATACTTTTCCATTTTAGTAACACTATTACAGTCAAACTGCTTTCTCTCCTAGTGACAAATTCAAACCCAATTTTTTGGAGTCAAAAATTAGCTGCGGTGAATAATGCCTAGAAGAAGCTGCCGGTTTCAGTCAGCACTATGCACCCAACTGCAGTAATCAACACACTTTCTAGCAGGCTGGTCATGCAAACCAGACTACCTAAGCTACAGAAACAAAACTCACTTTCAACAGCAATGCCCCAGGACAAGGTTACAGAAAGCAGCAATTTGTGGAATTTAATGACCACACTGGTTCTACGTAACTGCTCCAAAGTTATACAGGACACTGACGTTACCAGGAATTTCCATCTGGCATATTTCATATGTGTCAAAGTTACAATTACTAAAACAAAAAAAAAAAAAGAAAAAAAAAAGAAAGAATACAAAAAGAAAACAGGAAGAAAAAAAAAGCAGCATAATCTTATAATTATGAAGCTTATCAGAACAAATACAATCATAAGTCAAAGTTAAATGGCACTAATTTTTTTTTTTTTCCAAACAACTTTTAAATCCTCCCTTGTATTTCTGCATTTTGTGTGCCTGGAAAGTTGCACAAAACATGTTGCTTCAGGGCTGCACCTAATTATATTGGACATCCAGAAATAGGTGCATCTGACTCAGAATTTCTGCATGCCTTGCCAACCAATCAAACCATAAGAAATGCAAACTATGCTTAAATTAAGCAATAAAACACTGCAAGTTGCAAGTTGTAATGTATTAGCATACAGCACACTGCAAGGAAGAACTCCACAACAGGAAATAGGTTCTAAGTATATTTGTACCCAGTACCATTGAGAGTATCTTCACAACTGTGGCTTTACACAGCTTGAGTCACACGACCAACACTGACAACACAACAGCACTGAATGTTACAGATCAGGACTGAACATCAAATGAGGGTAAGTGCACTAAAGCAATGATACCTTTAATTATCAGCTGTTAACTCTCACCTTTTTAAACCTTTATAAATTGCAGGGTTTTTCATTTGATGATCATACCTCTCTGTAGACAATCTTCAAGACAGATTTAATTATAGAACTGGTACAAAACCAGACTTAAGTAGCAGCTCATGTTGAGAATTTGTCATTTTACCTTAAGGTAAAATTATGAGATCAGGCACTGTATTTTGCAGTGGTCCAGGGCAGGTGGGACCAAAGAGATGATTACAAAAACCTCATGCTTGTCTGGGACTGTTCCATCAGAAACATCTTGAAATGTGCAGCTGAGCTGTTTTATTTTACTCTTTATTTTACTCTTTCACAATACTATGCAGGCAAGTTATGTAAATCAACTGGGCCAAATATGGTCCCAGAGATTTCAAAAGAAAATATATCTCATCATGAGAATGTTACAGAATTTATTTTCATGCCTCAAGGGTGTTATTAATAATTAGCAATTTACATAAAGTCGCTAGAAAATACACAATACGAACCACTAGATCAATCCTCAGATATTTTCAATTTAAAAGCTAAAAATCAATCCTAACCATTAGAGAATTGTCTGAGAACTCTAAAGCAATTACAGACACTGATAACTGCATACACAGGCAGCGATACCAGCAACTAAAGGAGAGACCAGTAAATGATCCATGCCAATTTTGAGAACTTTCCACTAACAGCTGCTGTTCCATAGCAATCCAGTCATTTGGCTAACTTGTAAGGTCATTTTCTAAATGGGAAGTGACAAGTCTTAAGTTGGAGTTGTAAGGAGTTCTCTTATTTGACAGCTGTGTGCCAAGCAATGTGGCAATAAATTCCCAGCAATGGGACAACTGAACATCAATAGCATTATACATGTGGGTTTTTAGATTGATAGTATAAAGAACAGTCTTCATCTATGTTCATTATGGAGCAAACTCTGCTATTAAACACTGCTTTGTACAAAGGCTGCAAACATAATATACAATCAACTATCAAACTAAAATACATTTAAGAGCTATTTGAACAACTGAAGTATTTCCTATTCATTTTACATTAGAAACATATCCAGATCTCCATGCCTGCAAAAGAACAATCATTTTCAGAAATGAATAAAACTGTATGTAGCAAAACAGGTTCTTTTGTACCATATAATTTTCCAAACTCTATGGTGACTTTTACAGCAGTATTTCAATGGCTACTTTTCAAGACAAAGTATTTTGCCACTCTGTTACTCATTGCAAATGATTAAAGCAAAAATGTAAAAGCAGTGTCTGCAGCATACTGTGATAGATTGCAGCTGCAGGTGATTTACTCTGTAATACACCATTGCACAAGCAGCCACTCCTGAGGCTGCACAAGATGAGATGACGTGGGGTTGATCCAAATCCACACAATTTAAAAAAAAAATTACACAGCACTCTTAAAAATTCAAGAATAAGAAGATAAAGCATCCTATTACTCTACAGGCATTTTGCTTGAGTAAGAGCTTCTGGATTGAGCCTGGAATTAACGGCTAGTAAACAGCTTTAGGATTTGGCCTGCTGTTTGTACCTGCTAAAGACTTCTTTATCCAAAAGTACTAGTGTTTGACTCAACAAAATATAAATCATGCTCTCTGCTTTCATTAATGGAGACAGCACTGTACGTCAGCGCTTTTATATATACATATATATATTTATAAATAACTACATGCTTGAATGCATCAAAGAGTTTTCTGAAAGCCAAAGGAGTGCTAGGTAAATGCCAGGATGGTGCTGAAATTCCAAAGGAAATAAAACATGGTGCTAAAAGCTGTGCTCTTTTCACCGTCAGCAACGTCCACGGGATCCTGTTACAAGGGTGACCACTTTAGGTTCCAGTTCCCTCGTCCTCTGAGGGAAAACTTGAGTTAATCAGAGAGCACAGAGGTAGGAAAATATCATAGCTCCTTAGGAAATCAACTGGGCACAAGCAAAAGAAAAAAAAATTGACTAGCAGAGTAGTTAAAAAGCCACTCAAATTGAAGTCTTATGTCTTAATTATGAGTGGTATATTAGAAAACACCTATATACTCAAAGAAGAAAAATAATCTTTTTTTCGCCTTTCCACTGGAAAAAAAATTTAGAAACTCTTGGGAGTCAAAAGCTTGATATGATTCTCCTTATGAAAAAAAAAAATCTAGTCAGTTTTGCTGGGATTTTTTTGGATGTTTTGTTGTTGTTGTTGTTGTTTTGTGGGTTTTTTTGGTGGGTTTTTTTGGTTGGTTGGTTGGGTTTTTTGTGATTTTGGTTCTTTTTTCCCCTCAGGATACAAGAGCTGGCAGTCTTATTTCCCATGTCTTTGGAGAAGACAAAGGTTTGTTTTAATAACAAGAGCTGGCAGTCTTATTTCCCATGTCTTTGGAGAAGACAAAGGTTTGTTTTAATAGACATGTATTAAATGATTTAATGAAGAACTGAAAGAGTAAGCACAGTGGACTCAGCCTACCTAGACACCTACTTACCCTGATAAATATATCAATTTTTAACACCTGTCATCCAGAGTTTGTAAGAGGGGAAAAATATTTAAGACACTTAGTTGCAAAGATCTGGATTGCTGTTTCATCCAAGGTCACAAACAAAAATATTCTTTCCCACTCCTGTTTTTGAAGAATTTGCACATAATTTGTACACAGTTTTAGAGGTTTTGTAGAATGTCCCAGAAGACACAGTGATGGTATACAGCAATATCACTTGAAATTAATTAAACTATCTCAAGAGCATTAAGTCCATCCTCATTCCATACATAAAGACTGCAGAAGTATACATATGTAGAAGTGAGTTCGGAGAAACAGCTGCCTAAAAACATACCTGAAAATGAACTAACTGCTCCAATTCATGTGTACCCTTCTCAAAGACTGTCAAGCCCTAGGATTTTGACAGCAACTTGTTTATAAGAACCCATGAGAATGATTTCAGTATGTTCTTCCATGGTATCCCATTGACTGTTTTCCCCATATTATTAGCAGTTGCTACCAGCAACTAAACTCAGCAGTTTTTTAGCTCCCAACCTCAGGGAAAATTGTAAAACTAGGTGTATCTTTAGCACTATTAATTCATCTGCATCCTAGTTCCCTGCCACGTGCTGAGAAGCTGTGCTGCCATTCTGCTTGTTCTTCCACCAGTCATCCATTTCTCTAACTCAGTACCTTCGGAGAAAGACAAATAATACAGGAAGGAGACTTTCATAAACCATGTGATAATTAATTTTCATATAATTGGTAAACACTGAAATTACTAGCTCATGCAACAACAGTTCAGCATCTGACAAAGTAAGTGTCACTTTCAAAAATTAACAGGAAAAAAACACATCATAGGTTTAGTTACAGTTTTACTGAAGCTGGGTTTAGCTGCAGTAAGTTAGAAGTGCACTCATGTTAGTCTACTGTCACTACTGTCTGGTAGTTTATTGGTATATGAAAAGCACTTCTATCACATGCTGCTGAGGGTGTCAGACCCAGCAAAAAGGAACAGTTCCATTTGTTGTTTCCTTCCACCTCATGAATCACGCAAAGCTGACTTTCTGGTTTTGTTACTCACTTATAAATGTAATTGTAGAAATTAACTAGCCAGATACTTTTCACAGCCATTGAAATTGAAGATATTAACTCTCTCCCAAGGCAAGGAGGGAGCAGTAAGAGGAGCAAGGGTTGTACAGCCACAAGGATGAGCACACAGAGCATACTGCTGAGTCCAGACAGAAGGAGCTTGCAAGAACCGAAATATTAAGAGTTTGCACAATAATTTGAACTGTGGTGACGAATAGGTCTTACTTTAGAGATATTAGCTCGACAAAGATTGAGTTAGGAATTATAAAGGTCCACCTCAACAATGATGTCTGGGTTATCACCCTGCATAAAAGACAGTGACAACTGTTGTCTGCAGTGATTTAGAAAAATGCAGGATTATTTAAATTCTTGGATTATTTAATCATGAACTCGTATAGTCTGCATTTGTTACATGAAAGAAATTTGCAGATTGGTAAATGACATCCTCCAGAACTGTGCCTCTATGTGCCATCATTTTCACAAGGTGTCCTAACAATTTTCCAGTGTTCTTCATTAATTACTGTTTCTATTCCTCTTAGATTAGAATTAGAATCCTTCTAGTTCTAATGTTCTAATTAACATACTAATGATTTTTTTAGAACATGTAACCAGCAATTCCCAGGGCTAAACTGCAAGACAACAATTCTATTCTCCTGCCAGAAAACAGTATGAACTGTATGTGTAGTGATTTGTTGCCACCACCTGCACACCCTCTAGAGGTAGGGAAGGCAGCCCTCAGTTTGAAATTAACCCACAGATCCATACTTGGAACAGGATAACCTGCCAAGGCCACATATCCATTACAGTATGCCTCACGTTTAAAGACAAGGCCAAAAGACAGAACTTTATTACTGAGCCATCTCAAAACACTGACTACAGCAGAACCCTGCAAGACATGACTCTGATACATGCTGGACTGTGATGGAGGCAGTCACTGCTTCACTGCAGGATGCAGAGAGATGAACAGGCCTCTCTAATATACTGATCCCATTTCCAAAACCAAAATACTCTTCAGATCTCTTCACTGACTTTTCTGCAAATTGCTTTACAACTCTTCACATTTTCTGCCAGGATTATTTTCATTTATATCTTACTTCATAGAGACTTTATACTTAAGACAGAGAAGAATACAGTTTTGTCATGGATTAATAAGCCTGAAAAATACAGTCAAAATTTTGTAAAATCATATTTCTTAAATAAATGAGCACTCTAGTAGTAAATTTTATCTTCCAGGTGGAGAGCATATCTGAAATGTCACCATTTTATTGTAATATATCCAAGTTTTCAGTCATTATCCATTATATTATTTAACTCCTAAAGCTGGTGATAAAGGCAAGCCAAAAAAATGCCATGACCTTTTATTGTGGTGAGATAATTTACAGATATGGGCATATGAAAAATCCTGGAGAGCAAAATCATACAAAGGATTTTTCCAAGTAAATACTTTTCTTCTGAGACTTACTGGTGTGGTATTGCGCGCAGTTTAGAGCAGTTACTTTGGCTCCAGATTTCCCATTCATGAACAGCAGCAATAACAACATTTGATCTAATATTAATATACTTTTAGATGTCTTTTATATTTTATGCATATTATTAACTCAGTTATGGTTTCAAGGAAAACTCCCTGGACAAGAGTAAGACTGACTGAATCCCTTTCTGAAGAAAAAGTCCCTGAGGAGTGCATTTCTCACCGAGTTTCTGAATTCCAGAGGGTGTTTCAGATGCATCTCCCCAGGTTTTCCTCCAAGTGTAGCCCTTCCCATGAAATGACCTGTAAGAGCAGCTAAAAAGCAACCTGAACTCCAGCTAAGAGTGGGCCCAAATAGGAATAAACTAGCTGAGGCTCAGCTTCAGCAAGATTTACATGAATATTTACCAAAGGAAAAGCAATCAGGAATATAATCAGACAGTGAACAGAACTTTCATGTTGTGATACTTCCACAGATCTGCATACAGGGTGAAGACCTCAATGGAAGAAAAATGTAAAAGTCAATACCATGTTTTATTTACATATAAATCCAGTAAACTGAGTCACACTATCGCTTCAGCTTTCTCTCTACAGAAAACAGGTGAAAGGGGGAAAAATATTAAAAACATATTATTAATAGAAGACAAACACATTTCCAACCTGAAAGTAATATATAGTATCAGTCAAATGCTGTTACAGTCAAGTAGACAGTCATAAATTCTCCTTTCCCTCCGTGACTGTGTTCACACCTAGATAACTTCTTCTGCCTCTGCAACACCACAGATGCTCTCACCATAACTCTCCCCATCTAATATCTCCAAACAGCAAAATCTCGTGCAGAGTGCCCATCCATAATGTGGGAGCACTGAAGATTAGACCTTCCTCTCTCCATAGAAGAATTTCTCAATACAACTTAAGAAGCTTTATAAAATCTCTCTAATTCAGATGGGGTTTTGCCATCATTTCTGACGTAAAGATAGAGCTTTAATCAATGTTCAGTTTGATGGTTTCTAGTAATTACTCTGTAAATACCTACATCTATTAATAGCACCACTAAAAAGTATGTCTGAAAGAATTTTCAGGATGAAAGTCAAATTCCTTCCAAAGAGTGTTTGTAATTCAGGACCATCATCTCCTCATCATAGCCAACAATAACCTCTCAGCTCCAATACCCCACCTGGCAAACAAACTATTTGCAAAGGTAAATCATGAGTTCAGTCAGCAATCAGTGTGACCTTTCAGGAAGGATAGCTCCCTTCCAGACAGTATCTCCAACCACTAAATTAAATCTCTATTTTCCAAGCTTAAGGGGAAAGAAAAATATCTGCTTGAGCAAATTGAATCATATAAAAATTTACAACACCCCCAGACATTAGCAAAGCTCTTCGTCTTTTATTCTAAATTCTGCTTTATCTTCAGTCTGCAGATGTGGTTGGGACATATCAAAGAGAAAAACATGCAGAGATTCATCAGCTAGAAGCTGAACAAGTCACTTGAGGGCATGCACACTTCCTGTACCTAACCATAGCTGCACCTGAAGTAATGGAACCTCCTAGAAGCAGCAACATTTTATTAACATTTCTAGTGAAAAAATGAAATGTGGCCAAAGGCACAAGAAAGGCATGTTAAAGTGAGGATGGGGTTGGTCTCCTCTTCCAAGTAGCAAGCAATAGGACAAGAGGAGGTAGCCTCAAGGTGTTCCAGGGGAGGTTTAGATTCGATATTAGGAAAAAAAAAATTCACAGAAAGAATGGAATGACAAGCACTGGAACAGGCCACTAAGGAAAGTTATTCACTCCCCATCCCTAGAGGTATTTAAAAGACCTGTGGTAGATACAGAATGCAGGGACATGGCTTTGTGGTGGATTTGGCAGTGTTAGATTTACAGTTGGACTCTATGATGTTAAACACTTTCCCCACCTAAATGATTCTGTGATTTGATGCTTCTAAATTCTCAGAACTACATTCAGAAGAGTCTGAGGTACAGGTCTAAGAAAAACCCCCCCATTGTCAGCATAGGCTCTTCCTCCCTCCCTCCCTGTTGCACAGATACCTGTAAGTAGCTCGTTCACACACGGCTTTACATTTCCTGCCATCTGTACAGATCCTTCTGCACAGAGCTGCAAAGAGCAAGACTCTGCTCCTTCCTGTGGCAGTGATTCTTCTGGTACCTGTGAATAAACCTGACTCGACAGATAAATATCAGCTGCAGAGAAATGTGAACAGAAAAAGAGACTTCTTTCCTCCCAATCAATTTAGAGACTTCTGACCGCAGTCAGCATAATTTTCTCGGATGTAAAAGAGTTTTTCAAGGTGATGAATTCACTGTGTGATTTTTTTGGAAACATGGCAATTTCTTTTCTCCAGTGTTGGGCTGCCTGATGGGAAGAGGACATCACCTGCTTACCAGCCTGGCAGTAGTGTATCACTACAATACTGCACTAGTGGATATCACACCAGCCTCATCAAGCCAGCTTGACTGCCAGCTTCAGTACCACCTGCCATCTCCCCTGTGACAGGGCAGTTTCACTATTAAAAAGATGCTCTTACAGACACTTTTCTCACAAAGAGAGTGGCCTACATTTTCAAACTCCCTGCCAAGGATCAGTGGCCCTCCATCCCCACTACCTACAGAAATGCATCCAAAACAGTATTTCATCTCAGTTTTCCCACAAAAGACCCTCTCAGGTATGTCAGGAGTCTTATGTGCAGAAAGGCCCAGCAGCAACTTTTAAGTGCACTCCTGTCACAAAAGCTTTGAAGGGAAAGATTTGTGCATTTACTTCTAATGGGTAGTTCTCAGATACCACGGTTATGGATGAGCTTAGGCCACATAAAGCAATTAAATTTAATGCCCTAGATTAGATGCTATTTCTGACTGAATGACCTCAAGAGTGTGTGCAAGTGTACTAATCCATGATACTAGTGAAATAGGAGGTATCTGAATGTGTTCAGTAGCATTTTTTTTCTCAAGGCATAAAGTTTTTATTCTCTTGGCTTGGTCATATTTGACTCTTGGCACCAGCCTGTTCCTTCCATATGGTATCACGTATGATTACAATAAAAGAATAAAAACTCTACAGAAACCTCAAATGGCATTAATATGTTTGCTTTGTCAAACAGTGGAGTCTCAAAGCAAGAAGGAATCCAAGACAAACAGGAATATAATGCTAAAATCAAGACGTGGGCAGGTACTGAACTTCCTTTCTTCATTATTTCTAATCAGTTTAAGAGCATGATTCATTTGTTAAACTTCTTTCTGTACAAGTGGGGAGAAAAAAGTGAATTACCCATTGAATGCACAATAGAATAATGAAAGGAAGCTTCAGGTACTTCATGCCTTTGAAAATTATTCACTCTTCAAGAAAATGCTTAGAGACATACTTATGTCCATCTCTGTTAAGGAAAACACACACATTTATGTTCGGAGATTTTCTTGGATGAAATCCAAACAGAAAATTTCAGATATGTCTGGCTGGAGGACTGTGTCCACCTCTGAATCAGAGTGGACCAGACTGTATATATTCAGAAATAATCACATAGTCTTTCAAGCAGAAGACACTGTCTGAGACTACACTTCAGTGCCCCAAATGATGAACGTTTTGCTGAGCTTCCTGCAATGCAATTACACTGCAACTCAGATAGCTATCAGAAGATAAATCTAATGCTCAACAGAAAATTGAAAATATTTCTTGATTAGGTGCAGCTGACCTATAAGAGAGCTTTTGAACTTTTAATTAATATCTTTAAAGGGAGAGGGGGTTTGCACATGAAAGGGCAACTCCTTAAAATTAATTGATAAACTGTACAGTTCAAGAATTTTCTACCTTAACTGATCTGTGATGGCAGTCCCTTGAGTAATCTACATCTGCTCTCTTACAGGAAATCTGTAAAACCAACTTACAAAAAAAATTTAAAAATCTTGCAGAGAAAACAAAGAGAAAAAATATTTCAAGTTTCTCCAAACTCAGTACATTTTATGTAAAACATGTTTACAAGTGACTCCTATGCACCAGCATTAATTTAAAAAAGAAAGAATGCATGCTGTATTGTGTTAATGGATTGAGAAATAATTTGGGTGTTAGTGTTAATGAGAAAAAGCAACATTTATTGTGAAATGAACATCTGCCTCATTAGGAATAACATAGTAAATTATGTCTATTATGCGTACATGTTAAAGATTTTTTTGTTAGATAGTATTATTCATGCTTTCTACTCCATCTTTTCCACCTGAGAGCAAAAGACTCAATTTTGCTTCAATTAAAATCAGTTGTAAATTTCATTAATTTTCACTGCTTATGTTAATGAAAATATGAACCATATAAGAATGTTAAATACTTGGCAAATAAGTTTTACCTTTGAATTACTAAGAAATAACTACCCTACCACAGTGAGATTTATTTGCACTGTCAGCAGTTGATGTTGTCAAGGAATAAAAGGTTTTCCTCCTATATATTTTCTCCATAAAAAGATTAATAAAATAACAAACCATGTGCTTTTCCTTTCCACTGAAACAATTATGAAAAATTTAACTGCATTTTTATGAATATGGTTATGTATTTTAATTATGCTTATTCTCATGAATAGGGAAATCACTATTATTAATTGAATAATCATTGGTATTCCATTTGATGCTAAAAAATATTTGAAATTATCGCAAAATATTAGTTCACTTGTACTTTCACCCAATTCAGGAAACTTAATTAAGCTACAATAAACAGTAAAACAGGGTGAATGTCTATTAAAAATACAGTCAGACTTGGATCATGGAAAGAGCATCAAGTCTGAATAGATATCATGACCTGTTTCTGATTGAAAAAGTTGAACAACAGAGAAACTTTAAAAAGTGTCCAGTGAAGAAAGGTGTCTCGACCATTAAGATATTGCTCAGGGCCTACTTTGAAAATCTGTCACACAAATATTCTCTCACAGGCAATTAAAATCTTTATAAATCCGTTCTTTAATTCACTAAAACTACCTCTCCTTTGAGAACAATGCCATACTATAAATTCATAGATCAACTCTCAGGATAAATCTGTAATTTTGGGCAGGTTCCTTCATCATATGAGACCACAGAAAGTTTCCCAAGAGTTCACACATCGTACATGTCACTCAGTAAAAAAGACAAAAAAAGCTTCACCAAGGACTGGTACACCAAGAAAAATTGAGCTGAGATAAGAGTCTCATCCCCACGTATAATGTTCATTGCACGGGTTTTGTGAAAGGAGAAAAAATTACAGCAAAAAGATAATTATGAAGAAATTTCTTAACTCATGTCTTGCTTTAGGATAAAGAAGATTCTGCTTGCAAAGGTTGTACATTTATTTGAAATTTAAATACTAACCTTCCAAAACACAATTCCTAATCTCATTTAAGAAATAAACCTTACAACAAATAGAAGAAAGTCCACATGCATGAACCCTCCCCAACCCAGGGCTTGGTGACTCTTTCTCAAAGAAAGCCTTTTGCAGTCCTCTTTATAGAAAGCCATGGATCAATTTTTATTTTAATGGAAAATGATTTGCTTCCCCTGGTGTAGTGGTTTAGGTCACTACTCTTGAATCAGAAAGTAAAGCCAGTACAAATGAGAAAATTTAGTAGATCAAGCCTCAAAAAATAAATGTGAAATGGTATTTTACAAAGGTAAGCATTCCTAATACTTATCTACAGAAAATCCTGAGGTGGACAATAACTCTCCAACAAAAAAAAACAACCCAAAACCACAAAAGGTTCCACAAAAACAAACAAAATATAAACAAACTCCCTGCTCCCTCAAAAAGAACCAACTCAAAAAGAAACCAACAAAAAACAAGTGAAAAATAGAGGCTAGGTGTTATTTAGTGTCCATGACAGGGTTCCAGGCAAGGTCTGCTGTCCAACAGCTGTCTGTGTGAACAGCACAAGGAAAGAGAAGGAATGAAGCATGGCTGAGCATTTAATCTTCTTTGCCAATCACAAAGCAAGAGGACAAGTGGGTTTAAAGATTGTTACATCTCCACTTCTCTGGTCAGTACACAATGACAGAGATAGAACAAGAAAATACTGGACATGACATTCACAAACATCTGTGAATGCAGCTAAAAGAAAAGTAGATACCTGCACCTGGTGCAGAATACTCCCATGTATCCATTCAGGCTGGGAACCCACTGTTGGGGTTCTGGGTGGCAGGCCCAGCAGGAAGGGCACTTCTGTGGACACAGCAGGTTGAGCAAGCCAGCAGCACACTTTCATCAGAAATAAGGAAAGCAGAAAGCAACTATATTGGAATACTGGGACTGGCAGGCTGAAAAATTTCCTCCTCAGCACGGCCTCACACTAGGGCAGTCAGCTGTGATCCTTCCCAGCTGAACAGGGATGTGAACAAGACAGAGGAAATGCTGGAGAGCAACCAAGATACTCAGGAGCCTTGAGCTTTTGTCTTGGAGCAGCTGATGAAGATAAGCATGTTTGGTCTGACAGAAGGGTGATCTAACAGGTGACCCAGTAGCAGCCTACATCTACTTGAAGGTAAATCACAATGATAAAGAAGCCAGACTCTTTCTCAGCAGTGACAGAACATATGAAAAGGGACAATGACCATAAACTGCCACCTGGGAGGTTCAGGGTGGTTCTTCCATTCTTTCCTCCCCATATCAAACCCCCTCTTTTTTAGACAGGCAAGTGTTGCAGACCTGCAGGCTATTCATCAGGGTGGTGGGACCTTCATCCAGTGAAGTTTAAGAGCTATCTAGACAAAGCCATCTCACATGACTGGGAAGAGTGTTTCTCCCAGCTGGACTGGGTAATTTCCTAAGATTCCTTCAAAACAATGTGTAGCTGAGAAATATACACATGTATAGAATCAGACTGCTTCAAATGCAGTAAATCACCGCAGATTTATACTGAAGGGCATCTAAACATCCACTTTTTATTCACTGTCCCTGAAAGAAAATGCCTACTAAAGTTTGTGTGCTACAGTTAAAGAGTTTTAAATTTTTATGTCCTCAGTACCTAATAAGATTTGATTTGCTACATATTTATGTTGTCAACACTATTATTTATTAATTGTAAATAACATATTATTATTTATTTTTACAGACATATAGAAACATATTGTTACCCTAACAGCAGCAGGTCCTGACTCAGAAATGGGACCTGAAAAGATGAAAGCTGTAGAGTTACCCATAGATCACCTGGAACTAGTTCATTAGAAGCCACAAGATGGAAAAAAGAGATAAAATAATTTCTCCTGCTTTCAATAGTATGAGAAAAAGCAAGTCCTTTGGCTGTTGCACATGATTGGTTTTCTAATCAGAATATGGAACCTCTGTTATTGTA